GGGCCAGCTCAAAGTCGGTGCTCAGGGTGTGCTGAGTTAATGAGCACCCACTTTGCTCCACAAACCCACTGCATCCCAGCCAGTCTTCTTGCCCTCAGCTTGAGTTAGGACTGCTGTCTGGACAGAAGGGGACCATGGAGGTCTCCCCACCCCACCCTCCATTGCTCAGATGAGCAGCTGGGGCTTAAGATGAAGTGGGCAGGGGCTCAAGAGGTGATATTTAAGTCTCTCTGATGGCACAAAAGCAGGTGTGCCACAAATGTTTGTTGAATGAACATTTGACTGTGTATGAATAAATGAATAAATGGGTGAAAAGCAGCACTCCTTGGCCACTTTCAGATCCCTCCAGGGACAGAAATCTTAGGCCTCACAGCAACTGGAGGTGTCAATATTCCTGGGGCGTTTTCATTTTATAAGCAGAGGCTGGGCACACTACACACCCTGAAAGAGCCTCTTTTGGAGATGGAGAAGCTTCCCAGGCAGCTCCACAGACCTCTGGCTGGTGGAGATTTTCCAGAAGGCCTGGTTTGGGAAGTATTAGGGAGGTCCTTCTTGTCTTCTCGGTATTTCCAGCCAGCTCTGCCACCTCAGTCTGTCCTAACCCACAGTGGGTCTAAGGCATGTCCCTGAAGCCCATGAGCCTCAGTTTCTCCAAGTGTAAAGAAGGAGGCCATACCCCACTTCTCAGCTCTTCAGGCCACCATGGCATGAGGCCTGGTGACATGGCAGCAGGAGGGCCGGACCCAGGGGTGGAGGAGACAGGCCAAGGGGAAAGGCCAATACCCACACCGCCCTCAGCCCTGACCAGGTCCAGCCTGTCTTCTTTCATGTCTAAAAAGCCCCTAGCTCCTTGGCCACTGCAGGGGTGAGAGGAAAGGGAAGGGCCCCCATCCTGAGCCCTGCGCCAGAGTCCTCGCTGGCGGCAGGCGCCACTCCCCGGCCTCACAGAAGACAGATCGCTCCCTTAATCACTCTGGAAAAGAACCCCAAGCCGATATAATATTATAATTAATTAATTCACTAAAAAGGTATTAAATTTCTCTCCCCCCTGTGGATATTATCTGAATTCATTGACCTTTAGAAAAATCACCCTCTAATTGTAACCAGGTCCAAAAGCATTTGCAGCCCGTCCCTTTTACATTAATAATATCTTCCCGGACTCAGCTCTGGCTGCTTAAATATTGTATAAATTCCACTGCCCCCCTCGGAAAGAACAGAGCAAAGAAAAAAGATGAGGCTGGAGGAGTCTGAGAGGGGGACGGGGCCTGGGCCCCGAGAGGTGGGAGTCCCAGGAGGTGAGGGGCGGGAGGTGAGGGGCAGGAAGTACACCCAGGTGCCTGGGAAGGGGCTCTCTAGCAGCTCCAGCTGAGCCAGGCAGCTTGAAAGACAGGGGAGGGGCATGGGCTTTGAGATAGAGCATGGGGCGTGGGTTGAGAGCAGGAGTGCTGAACCTGAGGTTAGTTTTTAGGAGGCCATGTGTGTGTGGGGTGGGGGGAGAAGGTATGTAGTGTGTATCAGACTCTCAACTAAGTTAATGACGTCAAATAGTAAAGGAAGAATCTCTGCTTTAAAGGAACCATGGAGAATGGAAACACGGCATTCCAAGCAGCACATTCCAAGGCCCTGCAACCGCCTCCCGCCTCCCGGGCTGCCACTCCAACTCTCGCCTCCCAGGCCCTGTCCTGCCAACGGTGGAGCGGGCCGCCCAGCAGATGCAGCTGGACATGCAGAACTTCCTAAGGCTGAGGAGGTAGGTACTAAGGCAGGGCGAGCAGCTGGTGGGGACAGACAG